GGTAATCTGACACACCTTTGGTCCCATACCTGTCGGATTATCAAGGGACAACTGTATTTTAATTTTTTTGTTCGTTTTTATTTACCCAATGTTTAATATTATCTTTACTTTTTATAAATAAAAACGACCTCGAATAGTTTTTAAATTTTTTTAATTAATATATTTTATTTTATATAAATTTAATTAATTAGGGGGGTCGGAAATCGCAATAAAATTTTTAATTTTTTAAAAATATTTAAAAATACAGGCCTAGTTAGTATTCACCCTACTTTAAACCCTTTTCCTCCCGAGATGTCTATGAGAATGTCCCAGGAAATCCAACACCAGATGTTCTCAAGGTCATCTAGCTGTGTAAACAATGACTCATCAGTGTCAATTTTCACAGAAAGGCAAGACAAAGGAAAATAAAATTTGAAGCTTTTTCTTCAAAATAAATGCATTTCTTTCATTTTTTTTCAGTTTTAAGTATTTTTTACGTTTAATTAAATTAATATCAAAAATGTCAATGTCCTTAAGGGGTTAGTCTTTGCACACTTGCCCCGATTGATTTCAAAGGCCTTTGCACATTTTGCACTAGCCCAGTGGCGTANAACACATTCTAGTTTCAGAGACATTAAAATTTTTAAAAGAATGTAATTAAAAATGCATATTAGACTAAAAAAATAAGTATTTTCTACATTAAAAATTTCAAACTTCCAATTTTTTAAACAAGCCTCATTGAATTTATTATTACAAATTAAATGATTTTCAGATACTTTAATTAATAAACAAGCCTTTTCATTTATTAAAAAAAATTCAGTTCATAACAGATAAAACAATTTATAAAATGTTGGTATAATTTACCTTCGTTATTTTTATTTTACTAGGATCAACAAAGTTCCGACTTTGTTTGTTTACAGGAGTCCATTCTTCTGAATAAGGATTACCAGTTCTACCTAATATATGCAAATAAGATTAGTATAGAAAATAAATTTATAGAAAGTTAATAATTTAATCTATTATTAAGTAATTTAAAATTTTTAATGCGAATTTACTTTTCCTTCTTTCCCTATCATCAGATCTTTTTGGTGGTGCAGCATGCTGCAGTAATAACTGTTGTTCTTGTGCTTCTTTTTCCGCTTCACGATGAATCTGATCTATAGTTTTTGGATTATTTTCATCACGTCTTGGAACCCAATTTCTCTGAAATAAGAAATTAGCAAATAAGTTCAATAATTAATATTTATTAATATTTTCAAAATTTTAATTTCATTTTCAGAATAAAGTTTAAATAAACAAAATAGATTCAGAGCAGAAGACAAACATGTTCATGTTCCATTTAATTTATTTCTAGTATAATATAGTAAAACCTCACTAATTCAAATTACTATTTTGTATAGTGTATTTTTTAAAACAATGATAAAATAAAATAAATCTGACAAATCTAATCTGAACGTTAACAACTATTACCTTCCTCTTAAATCAGCATGTCAATATGTAATCAAAAAACAGAGAAGAAACCACAAACAAAAATTAGTTTCTTTTTATACACTCAAATTAGTAAATGTTAACAATGGCAAGAACAATACTACTACTTCTTTTGCATTGGAGAAGTTTATCAAACACACTTGTATTTGTTCATTTAAAATGCACAAAATAATTTAACTTTAAATAAAATGTACTTTTTGAACCATATAATACACATTTGTGTAAGAATCTCGGTAATTTAAACTAGACTTTTATTCTGAATTACTAGGGTTCTACTGTAATTTTGTTTATAAATATCTTTTATATCTAATTAAATAAAATTGGTATATAAATAATACTTCATAAAATACTTTATAAGATTAACATAAGATATCATTATAGACATTTTATGTTTTAATGCCCACTTAAGTAAATTAAAATTTTAATTAATATTTTTTCATAAAGCTGACAATGATAAAATAAAAAGGAATTAAACTATAATTTAACAAAAATATTTATCATCTAACCAGTTTTTTAGCTGCAGCTTGAAGAATGTTAGCAACTAGTTTTCCAGCAGTTCCCGAAACAATGCAAGGAGCAGCTATTTTCTTAAGAAAAGTTAAAGGTACAGTACCATCTTGTATCATTGGAGCAATCATTTCCCCAAGATACTCCCAAAACCTAGGGATATCAATTGCTGAATCTTCTGCCATTTCTAATATTGGCATAAACCTAAAATAATAAAAAAAAAAAAAAAAGTTCTCAAATATCAATCTTATATTTTATTTGAATATTAAAGCATATTAATATTGTAGGGATATAATTTTTATTCAGTAGTTTTATAAATTATAACAACTATAAACATCAGAATAGACAATTCAAATTATGTTTTTGAATAATATGGTTTATTTTATTAAATAAAGGAGAAACATTTTAATTAAAAGTAAAATTTAGCTAGTTTGTATTCTATAAAATTTCATTTTTTATATCAGCATTGTAAGCATCACAGATAATTCTGAATTAACTACAAATTCAATAATAAATGTTTCTAAAATATTTTAAAACAAATTGAAAACTGAAAGTATCACTTATGATTAAAACAGTTTTAATTTAACTCAGATGGTTGAGCAGTCAAGGAGGCAGCCTACTGCTCTGGGGGACCTGGGATTGAATCCAAAAGGGTCAAAAAATCCCCAGGAATTTTTTTGAAGGTGGTTTATCTTGATATGTTGGGCCCTGACCCTCACCACCCGGCCACCCATTGTGGGCCTGGCCAAACTCATAATTGGCTTGCTAAAAGAGTCTCTCTTAGGCAGTGCCCACAGGGTAAAAAAAGTTTTAAAAAAAAAAAAACGGAAAAAATATCTAATTACATAATAATCCACAAAATTAAGCATTCTAATAATGTTGTTATAAATTGCACTTGATCTAGGAAAAAATTTTAAAATTTTCTGTATTTTTATTACATGTTAATTATTCTTTAATAAATCAATTTAACATACCCTTTTATATATTGATCAATTGTAATTATCTTCTTGCTGACTAAATCTTGAAGCAGCTGGCCAACCATATTACGAGCCTGATTTGAACGCTCTAGAACTTGATTAACAGCAGCCATAATAAAATGATGAACAGAATTTTCTGAAGCAATTTCCAATACACATTGTGTTGCCTCCTACAAAAACATAAATTTATCTATAAATTAAAAAAATAAATTTCAAATATATTGTAAACATGATCAAATAATTAGTAAAAACACTAATTTAACATTTTATTTGACATATTTTGATTTGTTCACATTGAACACAATGAAAGATTTATCACATGATAAAAAAAAGCATCTTGTCTACTACTTCTAGGAAGTTTCTAGGTCCCTAAGTAAAAATGGCAACTCCACAATAGAGAAGGCATTTTGTGTTCTGTACTTTGCAAAGTTGAAATACAGGTAACTCCCATATAACACGGCACTTCTATAGCATGGATTCACTCTAACACAGTTCGAGAATTGGGAACATCCCCTGTATAACACGGTGCTTTTATAGCATGGGTTCACTCTAACACAGTTCGGCAATTGGGTAAAACCCTCGTACAACATGAAATGTAATAAAGGGTGTGTTCTTTTATACTTCTGCATAATTCTGCGCGAGCATTCTAATTGTTTTCATGGCTACTTTGAATGCTCTTTCAACAAATAATCCATTTAATGGTTATATTTTACAATTGGAATCCTTCTTTTGCTTCTAAAAGCTCACTTTAGAATTATAGATTCCTCCATCATGATACTATCGATAGTGCGGGCGCCGCGATCTTTCTTTCACTGTCGTTCCTAAATGCCTACAAACAGCAGCTCACTCCCGTTGCAGAGCGACCGCTATTAACGAATGCACCCACAAACCAGTTGATAATGCTCATGCTGAGATCATCATATAAAATGAATAATACTCTGGTAAAATATTTACTTAAATAATAAATAAGTATTTTACTTATGAAAAAAATGAATAATAAATCTGATTTAAGTAAGAATTTAACAGCATGTTTTTTAAATTTTGGAACCTAAACTCCCTTTTCGCACTAGTTCTTTGTTTCATATAACATGGATTCACATAACACGGCAATTTTTTGGAATGTAATTCCTGTGTTATACGGGGGTTACCTGTATAATAGCAGTAATTTGCAGGAACTAGAATTATGGATGCTGTGGATGAAGTGATAATAAAAAACAAATAATAAAAATATGTTGTAGTGAGTGTAGGAAGAATCTGAATATTGGTTTGATGTTTGCCAGTTGACATGAGGTGCACACACTGAGAAACTGTAATGGGCAAATGTAAAACTTGGGCAGTTTTCCATGTTTTAATGTATTGATACATAACAATGTTCTCAAACAGTAATTAACATAATTAAAATAATTTAAAATGGTAGTAGCTTTTTTTGAAAGATGAAGCATACATAATAGCTTTGAAATTCTAAAGCAAAAAATAACAATATTTGTTCTTTATTGATTTTATTTAATTTCAAGTATTAATTGCAAAAATTTTTAATGAGGAAAAATTGCATCTATAATAATTCCTTATTCAATTTCAAAAATAACAGATATAGATAAACCAGCAATGAGTTATTCAACTTTCCCAGCAACATTTAAAATTTGTGGTAGTGCCATCTGTTATCATATTTTATTAAAATTTTTTTTAAATATTTTTAACTATTATAAAACAGTAAAAAACTTAGTTTTGAGAGTGGAAATGAGTTTTATAAAAAATTCCAACCCTACTGCAGAAACACATCCCCCATTATTTCCCCACCTTCAACCTTTAACCACCAAAATTTAGTAGCATCAACCCCTCTAAAAAACAAACCTCCTTGCAAAAATTTCAGAAATCTTAACAAAAAGCATAGGAGTTATTAAGCTTCAAACAGTGAACAAAACCATGCCCCCACACATACTAATATCCATACATACAGAAATTAACCCTCAATTTTTTTTGCATTTCTCAACATTTCAACGTGTCCTGAATCCAAAACTAAAAATCTAAACAGTCATTTTTTGCCATATTACTATACTTTCCTTCTGTTTTAAACAGCTGAGAAAGTAAAAATCATGTTTTATGTAAATTAATACAAATTTGAAATAATGTAATGGTATTATCACAAAATAAGTTAAAACATCTAGTTAAACTATGAAAAATTTTATCATGACTAATATGCAATCATAGTGTGAAGAATAAAATGCCTAATCAGATTTAATTATTACATTATTCAATTCCATCTTTATTTTCTGCGAAAAAATTAAGTGTATGGACTAAATTATATTCTAAATTATTTCAAAACAAAATATGAGCATCTATGAAAAATTTTAGGTTAGTAAAATTCCAGAAATTTCTTAGTTTTGAGATTTCTTGATTTTCTATGCAAATACAAAGGGCATTTACACATCTTTAGAAGAATTTTGAAAAATAAAATAATTCAAAAGAATATATCTGTAACAGATTATTATTTAAAAAAGTAGTCAACTAGACATACTTGGAAACCTATTACTACATCCTAGTTGTGTCAGTTAGATTATTTATTGCATGTGTATTGATGTAATATGATTTAACAAATATACAGTATTTTAAACATTTTTGAAAGAATATATAATAAAGCCATCTTAAATTTTTTACTCAAAATCTTTGAATGGTCAGATAAATTTCATAAGTCATGTGCTGCTGATATCCGAGAACTATATGAGACTCAAAACCTGCAATTTGACCAACCACCATTTCTATATAATATTTGTGAACTTTTTATTTTCTACAAACTCTAATAAAAATAATAAATGGTATCATACTGTATATTTATTATAATCAACAATATATAAAATTTAATATTACCTTAAAATCACCAATATGTAAAAATTCATCTATTAGAGGTTTTGTTTTATTTTCCATTTCCTCCATAGAAATATCATCACCTGTTGCCTCCTACAAAAACATAAATTTATCTATAAATTAAAAAAATAAATTTCAAATATATTGTAAACATGATCAAATAATTAGTAAAAACACTAATTTAACATTTTATTTGACATATTTTGATTTGTTCACATTGAACACAATGAAAGATTTATCACATGATAAAAAAAAGCATCTTGTCTACTACTTCTAGGAAGTTTCTAGGTCCCTAAGTAAAAATGGCAACTCCACAATAGAGAAGGCATTTTGTGTTCTGTACTTTGCAAAGTTGAAATACAGGTAACTCCCATATAACACGGCACTTCTATAGCATGGATTCACTCTAACACAGTTCGAGAATTGGGAACATCCCCTGTATAACACGGTGCTTTTATAGCATGGGTTCACTCTAACACAGTTCGGCAATTGGGTAAAACCCTCGTACAACATGAAATGTAATAAAGGGTGTGTTCTTTTATACTTCTGCATAATTCTGCGCGAGCATTCTAATTGTTTTCATGGCTACTTTGAATGCTCTTTCAACAAATAATCCATTTAATGGTTATATTTTACAATTGGAATCCTTCTTTTGCTTCTAAAAGCTCACTTTAGAATTATAGATTCCTCCATCATGATACTATCGATAGTGCGGGCGCCGCGATCTTTCTTTCACTGTCGTTCCTAAATGCCTACAAACAGCAGCTCACTCCCGTTGCAGAGCGACCGCTATTAACGAATGCACCCACAAACCAGTTGATAATGCTCATGCTGAGATCATCATATAAAATGAATAATACTCTGGTAAAATATTTACTTAAATAATAAATAAGTATTTTACTTATGAAAAAAATGAATAATAAATCTGATTTAAGTAAGAATTTAACAGCATGTTTTTTAAATTTTGGAACCTAAACTCCCTTTTCGCACTAGTTCTTTGTTTCATATAACATGGATTCACATAACACGGCAATTTTTTGGAATGTAATTCCTGTGTTATACGGGGGTTACCTGTATAATAGCAGTAATTTGCAGGAACTAGAATTATGGATGCTGTGGATGAAGTGATAATAAAAAACAAATAATAAAAATATGTTGTAGTGAGTGTAGGAAGAATCTGAATATTGGTTTGATGTTTGCCAGTTGACATGAGGTGCACACACTGAGAAACTGTAATGGGCAAATGTAAAACTTGGGCAGTTTTCCATGTTTTAATGTATTGATACATAACAATGTTCTCAAACAGTAATTAACATAATTAAAATAATTTAAAATGGTAGTAGCTTTTTTTGAAAGATGAAGCATACATAATAGCTTTGAAATTCTAAAGCAAAAAATAACAATATTTGTTCTTTATTGATTTTATTTAATTTCAAGTATTAATTGCAAAAATTTTTAATGAGGAAAAATTGCATCTATAATAATTCCTTATTCAATTTCAAAAATAACAGATATAGATAAACCAGCAATGAGTTATTCAACTTTCCCAGCAACATTTAAAATTTGTGGTAGTGCCATCTGTTATCATATTTTATTAAGAAAACTTTTTATATTTTTAACTATTATAAAATAGCAAAAAAGCGTAATTTTGAGGATGGATTTTATGAAAAATCGTAAATGCTAATAACAAGTAAAANGACGCAAAACTTAACGAGTGCCTACCCGACAGTCTCGCGAATACATAAAAGAATTATTTTGTCATAAAAATAATAGGCTGGATTTATAAGGGAGAGTTTTAAAGTTCGGAGGAATACTATCCGATCGGTATATACCGGCTTGAGCGTCGATGTTGACGTCTCCCACACTCCGAAAAGTTTCGAATTATTGCCCGAAGACAAGGAAAGTCCAATTGGTATTCGTTATTTTACGTCGCTTCTTCTTGTTTGTTCTGTGGGATGTTCGTTATCCGATCATGTGTTCTTTGTCCGAACATAAAAATCTTTCGCGAAAGTGTCCGTTGTCCGACCTGTTCGTTAACCGATCACCCACTGTATTTATTTTGAATTTGCAGAACGATATATTCGAACGTCTTTGTAATTTTAAATATGATCTTACACGTTCTATGAGACGGTTGACAATGTTCCAGAATTTTAAAACCTGACGATGGCCTGTGCAGCGAGTTGAAAACGTTCGTTGCTGCGATAAATGGTTTTCAGGTGTTTTTGTGATGATTACAATCTACTATTGGAATGTTTATCGAATGTTTACTTTTCCGGCTGTTGTATCAATATATAACAGAAGGAAAATATAGCGGTCGGTCAAAAATGATTCTCTGGAAGATTTTTATATTTTTGGGCTCAGGACACCTATAAACGTCGAAAATTGAAAAATTTTGGTTTATTTTTTTCTTTTGGTATACATGGATATGGATGTGTGCGTGTGTGTGTGCGCGCGCGCGTTGACATGATTTTCTTTGCCAAATTTGAAGCTTAATAACTCATTTTCAGTAGAGTCGGACTTAATGACGATTTTATAAAACCATCCCTAACCCCAAAATTGATCTTTTTGCCTTTTTATAATAGTTAAAAATACTGTATAAAAAGAGATTTTAAAAATAAAACATGATTCTGCCGCCAAATGTTGACGGGGAAAGTGAAACAACTCGTTGCTGGATTTTTTTTATCACGGATATACCACTCTTTACCGTTGTTATATTATTAAAATTTTGCCGAAAAAGTTAAAAGTTTTACATAGAATCTGAATATAATGGTTTTTTAAAATTATTTAATCAAAAATCCATTTATTTATCATGTCGCTAGTCAGAGAAATTTATCGACAATGAAATAAAATAAAAAGCAAAAACGTTGGAAAAACCAGTGCCCTATCTGGAAGCCACCAACAGCCGTAACATGACACGCTGTTCTTTTAAGTTGAACATGGTTACTATGCTTTATAGAAAGTTTCCGATTAGTTAATTAGATAAATGAACGTTAATTGTTTTATTTAAATTAAAATACCGGAGAGGTTATAAAAATACAACATGAAAACGTCATTAAAGTTAAACATTCGACGAATTCTAGTTAACCTATGTGATTAAAGTGTAAATTCCTATGCTAGACGATCGCGGAAAAGAAAATGTCTTCGACTAAACGCGACTACGAATTAACCAAGTTCCACCGCATTACCTATTACGGTATCTTATGTATTAAGTGACCGAAGAGGTCACGGGTGTTCTAGTTAATAATTAAAAGCGTAGGCGTATTAATCGGATATTTTTGAACATTTATCCGACTGAAATTTATTCCTGTAAAGAGAAATGGAATACGCATTTTTATAAAAGATTATTGTCGTGCGCACAAACATTCAGAATATAGGCCTATATCATCATGCGTATCAGTGTTTCGTATAACTCAGAAAACAGCAAAACAGCATTGATACAATCCTTAGTATACAGTTTCGATGTTTGTAAACGTTTCACTTTAAAATTCAGCTAACATTTGGCGCTTCCTCCTTTTAATGTACCGTACGGTACACATTACAGTACTCTAATGAATTTATAATGGATTTCTGGTGTAAAAAGACTAGAAAACGCTGTACGCAATTCTTGGACAGGTAAATAGTCGTGGCGGTCGCTTTTCTTCTTCGCGCATTGAACCTTGATTTTCTCTTCAACTTTGCAGTAGAACGGCAAACTTTGGGTGACAATAATGTACTGTACAGTATAAGTTTATTCTATCAAAAGCGGTAACGCTAGTGAGTATGCAAAGTAGAAATTGGAAACGCTTTTATATCGGCTAATTAAATGCACTGTCACACTTTCGAACCTGGTATGGACTTTATTGTTCTTACGTTATATACTGTATATAGTATCACTTTATTGTCTATGGAAAGCGACGAGTTTTAGCGACAGCGGAAATATTTGACACATCGCGTGTGTGGATAAATTTACTTTTACTTACTTATTTTTAATTTATTGAAAAACATTTTAAATGTGTTTTTTAGATAATTCGATTTTATTAACAAAAGGAATCGGTTTAACTCAAACAGGAATAATTCAAAGTTTAGTATACTGGAAGTCATTTTCCTCTCGATCGTCCTGCATGGGTTTTACATATTAAACCAACTCGTTACTCGAATTCCTGAAACTGTTTAACTCTAATGAGATTTTGATGCAGTATTTTCATAACTTCTCCAAATTTTCATTTAAGTTTCATTAAATAATCAACGTGCATCTATCCAATAAATTAATCAGAAACCACCCACGACTAAAAATAAACATCGTGCCATGTGACGGCAGGTGGAGATAGTGGCTTCCAGACAGCCTGTGTGACTTAGATAACGTTACTGACAGTCGAACCTCTCTTTTAGAAACATTTTTTGTTTTATTTGGTTGGTGATGGATTTCTTTAATTAGCCGACATAATAAATAAATTAATCTTTGATAAATTAATTTAAAAAGAACGATAACAGTCCAATTATATGTAAAACTTCACAAAATTGTAAAAATACAACAATGGTAAAAAGTGGTATGTTTATGATAAAAAATGAAACATAGATCGATTCTAGGGCTAAATATCGTAATTAAAAACATTCGTGCTAAACACGGGAGTGAACGGATCTTTCTTTCGAGAAAGCATTTTTTCGGTATTTTCTTTAAGAATTTGGTTTAGGGTTTTTGTGTCTTAAGACAACACCAAGAGGTTTATATTGACAAGACGATTCTACGTTGCAAGACTCGCAAAAATAAGTTTATGGGTCACCAATAAACAGAATTTATTCCTTCGATTAATTCGGGTTTTTATTTATTTAGCGTTTGGCTTATACATGACACAAACAAAGCGTAACAAAATAAAGTAACGCAAAACCATAAATGAAATAGGGGAATAAGAAACAGTAAATCTATATCAATCAAACAATTATAAAACTGTACAATTATGTGACTGCACATATACACAAGAATATAAAGAGCGTTCAGAGCTGTATATGTAACTCGCTTATCCACTTTACGGCTTCTGAGGTGGATATCAGTGTGTCACTCCGGTCTTCTGGGTAAGCCGGCAGTCTACTCTCACGTGCAATGTACGCCCA